TGTAAACTAAATTAATTTGGATTCAAATACATTTTATTTTAATTAGACTAGGCTACACTACACTGTAAAAGAAATATTGACTGTTAGTTAGGTGAATAAGTCATGAATGCGTCTAACCGTAGTCTTTGGTCTAACTACACAATGAGTTAGGCCAACACGTTGTCAAATTATAATTGAATGGATTGTTGCTGCTTCTATAGACATCAGTGTGTATTTTACAAACTAAATGTATTGTTTTGCTAATACTTATGTGTATTTAAATGTCTGAAACCTAAAATAAACATGTGGTTGAAAACACTGCATAGTTGTGAAAATATGACAAGCGCTGAGCATGTCAGTGCCAGCCAAAGCATGAAAGCACATTTGAATCTATCACTGTGCATTCTAAAATCCCATATGTACTCCGTACTCCCAAGAGCATAGAAACAATGATCCCACACGTGGAACTGTATATTAACATAACTGCTTCTTAGAAACGATACGATTTCTTCTGGTGTAATGCAATACAATGATATTATGCATGTCAAAAACATGGTAATACCATGGTACTTTAAGTCGTTTTGTGTACTCATGGCCGGACGTCCATTGGGCTTGACTGGGCTGCAGCATAGGCCCCGACCAGTAGGGGGCCCTGCCTTTACCTGTTTAGATTTGTTTGATTGGTTCAGTTATATGCCAGTCAGAAATTATTAGCTGCATTTCCACTGTCGGGTCAGTGCGATCGAGGGCTAATAACCTCTGACTGCGAGCTTAGAGGCATAATCAAACAGTGTAAACTGGTATTTATCATTATTTCACATAGAACGAGGGCCCCATAAGTCTAACCTTGTGTGTACTATTCATGTTTCGATTAGACATCTTTTTACCTGCAGCGTCGTTCACAAGCACGTGAGGTTTTGACCCGAACATAATGACCTTCTTGGCTGACAGCCGGCAGACAGACAGAATGCAGGTTTTGTTTAAATAGGTTAATATTAACTTAATCTAGCACTGTTTCTGATTTGTGTTTAAAGTTCCTGTTAGTCTTTTACCTGCAGGGACACATCAATGTTTGTTTTTGCTTTGTAAGAGTTTACACATTGGCATTATAAATTCTTGTCCATGTACCTTTTTCGAGACAAACGTGATTCACAAGTGGAAAAAAGATCCCTCTCATATTTTTTTCTGAAAATAATAATAATGTTGCATACTGTAGAATTTTTTTTTTAATACTTACATTAATTTACACTATGCACTATAGGGGCGTAACCAATCAAATGAAATAAGTATTATCAAAAAGTGGGTTATTGAATCATTGACTTGATTGACCCAATTCCTTAAAACACCAAATTATTCTAGAATAAAACACCACACTGTGCTGGGAGAGGTAAGTGTTCTGCCTTGTTTGGAACGATTCTCGCTGGCAAAATAGAGCAAAAACAGTCAAAATTGTACTTAAAAACTATTGTGTAAAAAGTCCATGGAGCATTTCACTTTCCCAGGCATTGTGAACGCAAATCTATGCATTTGGGTGTGACACTCAAGTATAATAGTGACTGTTGATTGTCATTATTTAAATATATGTAAATATTTTCTTGAGTCATGTAGGCGTGCAGGTATAAGCAGAGCGTGAGCTCGCAGCTATGGAGATACCTGAGAGACCGCCAACTTTTGTCACGTCTCTGTTACTTCTGAATAAAGTCTTTCTGTCCCCGATGGAGTTTTGGTTCCTTGCCATTGTCGCCTTTGGCTTGCTTAGTTGGGGACGCTTGACTGATTGCACAGCACTATTGGACGAGAGCTGAACTGGATGATCACTGAATCATCAATGAACTGACTTTAGCTGGAAAAATTACTCTTTGTTATTGTCTTCTTGCATTATTGACTAACTATTTTCCTGTTTGACACTGTAAAGCTGCTCTGACACAATCTGTATTGTATAAAGCGCTAAACAAATAAAGGTGACTTGACTTAACTTGACTAATGAGGAGAAATGGAGCATGTATTACAGTAAGAATGTTTTCTTCTATTATGAGAGAAAACATCCCTATTTTGAAACATGCTTCATTCACCATCATCTTGCTTGTTCTGAATCAGTTGGGAATAGCTGCTGCTTGATTAGTCTTTTCCTCCTACTTTTTACTCTTATTCAAGTAATTATATGAAGATCATTACTTTTACTTCTGTTCTTCTTTAAGTATTTGTCCTTTTACATCAGTACAGATTTTTAGATTGTTCTACCCACCTTTGAGTGTTATTTTATTTGCTGCATTCAAGTACATATCCTGAAAATACAAAGAAAATACAAACCAATTTGGGATTTACAATTATGTACTCTTACAATTATTTAATGGACAAGCATATGGTGGTAATATAGTGGTGAAATACAGTCACAGTTTGAGTTGTAGCAACAAGTTGACTATTAGTTTTATTTTATTTTATTTGTATTTTGCGAAGTTAATAAAGCATTGTGTTGTATAAAAAATTAAAATATAACAATTTTGGTAGATTTACCATGCTAATAACAGTGGAAACGTGTCATTACAATCTATAAAAAAGGGTTTATGTGGTGTTTTATCTTCTTAACATCACAAGATTGCAATTACTAGTAAATGGAAGAATTTATGTTAATAAACATTCTGCTTAAGATCTATTCTATTGACAAAGCATGCAATTCATTTTCATATATATTTATATATATAAAAATAAAAAAAAGACAACTCCCATGCATCTGGTCCATTGATAAAGCCATGTCTCAGGTCACGTGTGACTTATGGATCGCCTTTTCAGAGGCGTCCAATCACAGCTGACTTCCGGAAAAGGGGAAGTATCCAATGGCATTCGAGATTACAATTAAAACAGTAAGTCCCGCCCCACGACTGCCAAAAGTCTATAATATATACTGTGTGCATTTCTAAACTTCGATACCCTTTCTTATACAGTATACTCCAATAAAATGTATTGTTGAAATTTTCATCACCAGCTTCTGCTCTATGAACTCTATGAAGTTTAATTTTCTACATAATATTTGACATAAAGTGTCATTTACGAGAGTACTGTATTTGTACAGTATGTAATAGTAATATACTGTAATTTACATCTGGTTCGCTGCTTTGACACAACCAGTATTGTATAAAGCGCTATACAAATAAAGGTGACTTGACTGTGTACAGAATACTTTCAATGTTATTATGTTGTTCTAAGTCGCTTAAACACGCATTTATTGCATTAATTGCAAGCAAAAGTTTAACAAATGTAAACTAAATTAATTTGGATTCAAATACATTTTATTTTAATTAGACTAGGCTACACTTGTCACAACTGCTACTGTGGAGGAACGAAGGAGCGCGGAGACAAAGGAGTTGAAGGATAACAATCTTTAATAGTCCAAACTGGGGGAAAACACAGGGTAGTCAGGGGACACACACACGTAGCATCAGGATAAGACGTTTAACACGGCACGCTAGACACAGGAAACACTGGGCTTAAGTACACGACTAAACGAGGGGATGACGAGACACACCTGGACTCAATGAAACACAATAGGAACAGGAAGGAAACCAAATATGGGCATGTCACACACGAGGGAAAACTAGGTCATGGAAGGCACATGGGGAGAAAAACACAACACAGACAGTCCATATTTCTGACATATCGCCCCCCTCCCTGAAGGCATGTCCTCGTACCAAAGAAACAACAGAAGGAGGGACAGTTGGGAACTTGGGAGGAGGCTCAGGAGGAGGACGGACACCTGGGAGGGGGTGGCAGACAGAGTCCAGGGAGGTGACGACGGAGGGATGAGCCAAGGAGGAAACAGGAAGGACTTGGAGCATGCGGTGCCAGGTGGGACCCAGGCCACAGCCATAATGGCAACCAACGGTGGAGCCGACGGAGGGAGGAACCACGGAGGAGGAAGGACTGACAACTCCAAGGGGCCGACCATAGAAAACCATTATAAAGAAAGAAAACACAACCATTTATTGCACTAGTCTGCATTCATATTCTGGGCTCATCTGCTTGCCTATATAAAGTATGCATCATCAATAATGTGTATATACTGAATTTGATCTTTTTATATCACTGTTTTAATACATTAAGCCACATTAAACACATTTTTCACATTAAATGTTTTAGAATGTCCCGCTATTTTTAGTGATTGAAATATTGCGGCGGGGGCTTTTTATTGATTGCAAATGGCTAAAACTTGAATTTTGCTTCCTTTTTTTTTTTTTTTTTGAGAGGTGATCTAAATATTTGTGGCTTGGAAACAGATGAAAAATTGACAGGCTTGTGCTGCCGTTCTGTGGATGTTTTGCCCTCCAGGTCTTCGAGCAATTCACAAGACTGAAAACTATTAATTCACCAATGGGAATTCAAGGGAACATGCTCAGCAACCAATAGCATTGTTGAATAGACTGAAAAGTGGACTGCCACAAACCTGCTGCACATGAATATAGCAGTTTATGTGTGTTTTTCCAAGTAAATATGGCAACAAACTGTACAGGATGCTTAACAGGATAAAAATTTAATATAAGGGGCCTGTAAAATATTGCATCGATTTCATCAATTCAGGGGCAATTGCAAGATGTAGACCTATTGTATGTTTTTCTGAGCCCGGTCTCATGAAAATACGTATAAATAGTACGCCAAATAAAAACGAAAACTCGTGGTATTGATATGCAAAAATTGACTTTGGCGTGCATATGATACGCATGTGTTTGGCGTGCATATAATACGCAGTTTTCGCGTGCATATGATACAAAATTTGTTGGCTTGCATACGATACGCAGTTTTCGCGTACATATGATATGCATCTACCCCACAACCCTAAACCTACCCATCGCGTAGCATATACACGCCAAAGTCCATTTTTGCGCAAAGTCCACGAGTTTAAATTTTTATTTGGCGTAGTATTTATACGCACTTTCATGAGATCGGGTTGGTTTTTCTCTGTGTCGTGTAATTGATGTTTGTTTGTTAATTTATCTGTTAACTTAGTTTTTTTGAAAACGCATGCAAACCTTTCAACAAAATGTGACTGAAGATTAAACAGACTGAAGGCGTTTATGTTTATGCGATCCAGCTCATCTCCAGACACTCCTGGAGGAGGAGTGAAGCGGAAATGCTGAAGGAGGGAGGTGAAGAACAGAAAGAGCTCCATCCTGGCCAAACTCTCTCCAGGACAAACCCTGCGGCCTGAAAGAGACTGTGTGCGCCTCACTGCTGCAAATGGAATAGACATTCCTGTTCTTGGATGTCTACAGGCAGATATAGAGTGCATGGAAAGTCTGCTTCCAGGAAAATGCGTTTTTGTGCTCACAGAGTCCAACCCCGATGCGCAGGAGATGAAAGGATTGGATGGAATCATGGGAATGAATGTCCTTAGTGAATTGAAGACCCTTGTACTGTCTGGAAAGGAGTTCAGTGAGGAACGTAAAGTCAGCCGAGGCACAAATGCTAATGTAAGGAGAGTGATAGCAAGAGTGAATAAAGATGAGGGAACAGATGCCAGTAGCGCCCACACACTGGTACCCTGCACAAAACAACACAAACTATGTTTGCAAATCTCTGGGTTTCATGGATCACAGCGTCTGTATATGGTAAGTTCTTCCTGTTTTCCACCACTGGCTGACGTCTACCGATTACTCGATCACACAATCTCATCTTGAACCTCGACTTTTGTCAAGTCAGATCAACATTGGCAAGAACACAGCATCACAGCATTATTCAAAAAGTTCCTGACAATTTATTAATAAAACAATAAAGTTTGACTTGGCTATATAAACAATTGACTTTTTAATATGGACTGATGAATAAGAACTTTATGAACAAAATGCCATTTGCGGTTGTACCTTGTATTTCAGGGTATTTGGCCATGAGCAGAAGACCCCAGCACAGTGTTGTAGTCATAGTGTCGGTACCAGCAGCAAACAGGTTATTAATTGTACAATGAAGATTCACCGAATGGAACAGAGTCGCTGATTCACTTGATCTCTGCACACATTATCATGGTGACATCCAAGGAAAATAAAGTGTGATGTCAAAACATTAAAAATTAGATTGTGAAAATACATTGATTATGTTGTGATTACAAACTCTAAAACTATAAACATTCTTCATTCCCTCTAAGAAATTTTACATTCCCTCCAAGAAGCTTGTTGGTGAGTGAATGGCACCTTGTGATACCAACATTAAAAGGCACCCAATCACTTTCCTGAACCTTCACCTGCATGATTTTCAATTTGTCAGCATTAGTTAATGCATTAGAAATCATGACATAAACTAACAATAACGACAATATTTTTACAGAATGTATTATTTTAGGCTCATTTTAACATATATAGGCCTTCAATAGTTAATTGCTGAATCATGTTCATTCAACATATTTGTTCCAGACTAAAAACTCATCTGTTTCGCTGTGTATTTACGGAATTCTTATTAGTTTTAAAATACATTTTAATATGTTTTTTTTTATTGTTGATTTTCTTTTTATGCATCTATTTTGATTATTTTAAAATCTTTTTTTTATATAAAGCACTCTGAATTATCATTGTGTATGAAATGTGCTATTTAAATAAACTTGCATTGGCTTCAACTACAAAATGTTGAAAATGTATAAGTAGAAATTAAAAGGGTCATATGATGCGATTTCAATTTTTCCAAAATTCCAAAGTCCATTTCTGCATATAAAGAGCACGCCAAATAGAAACCCAAGTGAACGCGCAGATAGTGTACAGACAAACGGCCGATTTTCGTTTTGTTCCTGAATGAGTGAATGATTAAAATGACTCAAAACACGAGCAAGATGAGTTCCTGCGAAACACATCAATTGAACAAAATCTACTAGAAAATTCTCCTTAATACATTACTAGGCAACTAATGCAATAATAAACATTTTTATAATACATTTTGAATACTTTATTACTTTACACATTTGCTCAATTTAGGAATTAATTGAGGACTGCATACAGAAATGTCTGGGTAGCCTACCTGAACTGATGCTGATCCAATCATCTCCATGGTCGTGTAAGCTCGTCTGACCATGTGATGTAACTCAGTGTTGTTGTACTCAAATCTGCTGCCATAGACAATTGTAGAGATGATGTTTGAAACTGCAAGGTTTACAGGCTGAGCTGTATCAAATGGTTTTCCTGCAAAAAGCAATTTTATTTCATTATAAGTAATTCTGCTTACAGTATGGACTTTAAAACCAAGTGCCTTATTTAGTCAACCACATTACTATATTGTCCTTGTGGTTTTACAGTCTTACCTTCAAACTCCTCAAATTCCTCTTTTAAATATTGCGTTTCTTCAGTGATAATCTGTTCACTTCTTTTCTTGCCCATTCCAAAGTCTCGCAGGTTTGCGAGAGCAAAGCGTCTCATTTCCCTCCAGTTTTCACCATTGGAAAACGAGATCCCTGCAAAGGAATCATTTATCCATTAATGTTATCAAGCAGAATTTAAATGGTTGTGATTTCTTTGTGATTATTGTATCACATGCCTAATCTTTCTTTCTCATTTGACAACAGTACTGTGATGGTATTGTATCAGATCATAATACCATGGAGATTTACCATGATAATACATATACAATTAATTCGTACCAAATCCCTGGTTGAAATCATGAATTATGGGTGTAATATCTCTGTCTCCAAACTCCTCTGACAGGTTCACTAGTGCCTGTTTGACAGCCTTGTATCCTGACAATATCACCACTTTTTTGGGGCCAAAGTGCACCGTGAAAACCGACCCATATTGTTTTGACAGCTGTAAGATAGAAAAGATGGAGCTATTGAAATATATAATTTATCGGCATCATCTCATCTGTGGTCTGTCTGGTCGGTTTATAGCAGAAAGTATTGTTAGAACACAGGATTCAGTCCCAGCTTACCTTCTAACACAATTCTAACCCCCATCTCCATGGTCATTCATTACCATTGACTCTTACCCTAATCAGTATGAGAACTAGGTGACCTATTTGTCATTTTTGAACACTGTATGTGTGCCAGCGATTGCCTACTTGGCATGTGTACCATTTAAGAAATAAGGTACACAATGTGCTTGCGAGCCCAGAAAAAGGAAGAGTCCCAGTGCAAGTGTTAAATCTCTGTCAGGAGACTATCAGGTTGATGCCGAGATCCAGGATTGCAGTTGTGTCCAAGCCTCAAAAAGTAGTCCCAAAGCAAATGGTGGAATTTGAAGAGGATGAGGGCGAGTTACGCGTTAAGTGACATATGCAGTGCAGTGTTAAGATGGAGAATCAGCCCAAGCAACTGTCAATTCCAGTGCAATTTAATCAGGATGGACTGTCTGAGGTACAACGTGAGGAGTTAAATGCACTGTTGGCGTGTTACAGTGATGTTTTTTCCAAGAGCGACACAGATTTTGGATATACGACGACAGTGACGCATAGCATTCCTACAGGAGATGCACAGCCCATAAAGCAACGCCACAGACGAGTCCCACCTCACGTTTTCCAAGAGTTTAAGAGACATGTGCAGGATCTTGTCAGTCAAGGTATACTGAAGGAGAGTCGCAATCCATGGGCCTTCACCTGCAGTCATTGTGATAAAAAAAGACGGAGGTGTTCGTTTCTGCTGTGACTACAGGAGACTCAATCAAGTCACATTTAAGGATGCCTACCCCCTTCCCCGTGTGGAGGAATCTTTGGATGCTTTGGGTAATGCACAGTTGTTTTCCATTCTGGATCTCACAGCAGGTTACTTCCAAGTGGCGGTAAATGAATCAGATCGGGAGAAGACCGCGGTCACAACACCATTCAGGTTGTATGAGTGGACACGGATGCCGTTTGGTTTATGCAACGCTCCGGCCACCTTTCAACGATTGATGGGTGCAGCATTAGGTGATCTGGCCTTTGACATTCTGTTGATCTATCTCGACGATATTATTGTGTTCTCGGTGGATTTCAAGAGTCATTGTGAGAAGTTGGAGCTTGTTTTCTCTAGGTTGCGTCAGCACGGACTGAAGTTGAAACCGAGTAAATGTTTCCTCCTGAGGCCAGAGGTCCGGTTCTTGGGACACATAATTTGCCACCTTTCAGCGATTGATGGGTGCAGCATTAGGTGATCTGGCCTTTGACATTCTGTTGATCTATCTTGACGATATTATTGTGTTCTCGGTGGATTTCAAGAGTCATTGTGAGAAGCTGGAGCTTGTTTTCTCCAGGTTGCGTCAGCACAGACTGAAGTTGAAGCAGAGTAAATGTTTCCTTCTGAGGCCAGAGGTCCGGTTCTTGGGACACATAATTTCTTCTAAGGGAGTTCAGGTGGACAAGGTTCAGTGCTTGAATGCATGGCCATCACCGTCGAATGTGAGGGAGGTTAGACAGCTGTTGGGATGAGTTACTATCGCCGGTTTGTTCCCAGATTTGCACAGCTGGCCAAGCCCCTACATCAGGGGCGTAGCCATCATTTGAGAAGTGAGGGGGACAGAAATATATATATATATATAAAAATAAAAAAATAAAAAATAATAATTATATATATATATATATATATATGTATGTATAACATTACAATATAACATTTCTGTAATCTATATAACCTACCAGTCAACAGTTTTTGAACAGTAAGATTTTTAATGTTTTATAAAGAAGTCTCTTC